GTGAGTAGGCGATTCGACGGCCGCCACAATGGATTATTCTTCCTTGCGTTCATTTGGGTTCGAACGCCGCGCTGGGACCACACTTGCACCAGCGGAGCGGTTTCTGCCTTCGGGCCACGCTCCAGCACAGGGCAAGTATCAAGCTACCGATCGCCCCTGGCATGGCGCCGCTTCAGGGGCTCCTCGCCATCTTGTGATTTGTTGCATTCGATGCATGATCTGCCCAGGCAGTCCTCCGTGTTGGGGTGGCGTCTGCTCAGCCTCTTCGGTGACGTCAGGTTGGAGAGCATATCGCTCGAGATTCGCACGGCCAACGTTGAGGACAGCGCGTACCTTACACGGTATCACGTCGGCTGCAATAGCAGAGTCCCAGTCGCGCCCGTCTCATTCGCAGCTCTCAGCATGTATATGACCCCAAAGAACGCCAGCGTTGGCAGATACTTAGTGGGGCAACAGGTAGGCACGGGAAAATGTATACATGGGGGCATCGCTACCACGACATTAGCCGTTCAAAAACGACACCAGAGCGTTGGAACAATGTGCGGGTATCTGAACCGTCGCAGCCGCATCTGCTCTTTCAACTGCCCCCATGATGCTTGCACCGTAAGCCTTTTTACAGCAGTGACAAAGGGAGTTGCGTCCGCAAGCGCGCCCCATCTCACTGCATCCATCGTGTGCCGATGTTTATGCAATTCGCATAACAGCCAGCCCACAATCGACGAGGCTCCAGATGAGGCGCCCGCTGCCTCATCCACGTGCCTGCAAGCACGTTGAGCACTTGCTCCCGCCAAACCCACCACCGCCCAAGTGGAACGACCCAGCCGCATGGTCACCCTTGGTGGCAAGAACCAACAACTGACGATGCCCGGTACATCAGTTTGAGATTGAAATGTTTGGTTGCACTGCTTCTGTCATTGCTGCCGCCAGTACTTGCAAATCGAAGCGCACGACGTGAGCAGCGCCCTTTGCCCCTTGCCAGGCGATGTGGGCGCGACTGGCATCGGCGCCGAGAACGAACTCACGCTCGCGGGCGAGATTGGCACAGGCAGGGTCCGCGCAAACAAGAGGGAGAAGGCGTCCGCAATGTCTTCGCAACGGGTGGCCACAATAATAGTGCCCGCCCCATGTGAGCGTACTGCGCACGACCAGCCCACGACCACTCAGCCCACGACCGCTCAAGACTCGAGCGCTCGAGCGCTCGTGCACGAAGACGCTTGTGACGCCAGCTACGACGGGTGAACCAATGCAGGCGTTCGCCGCGAGCCTGATGTCTTTACGAGCAGCTTCCATAATTTTCTGAGCGGCGAAACCTGACCCCTCCCAGATGTTTCGAATCAGTGGCCAGTTTGGGTTGAGACTTGTGTCAGCCAAGTCGTTGACACACTCATCCAATACGATTCGCAGGGTTCACGATGGCATGATGTATCGCCTGCACAGCCTTTTGAGTGTCAGTAGCATGCGTCCGCCATTCTTGCACGCCACGTCACGCCTCGCCCGACTTGAATGACGCACTGCGCGAGCGCATGCCAAATAGTCTAGAGGCACGTATGTTGCGAGCGAAGGGATGTACAGCAGATTTTTAGAAACGCTTATAATTGCCCCAGGGTTGTTGTTCAGCTAGGCTTACCGGCGCGTGCGAACCGCACGGTCCCCAAGTTTGGAAAATACAAAGTTGTTTCACTTCTGGGGCCTTTAACGAGGCCGTCGTGCGGCTGCACGCGGTTCGAATGCAATGCTAGGATAGTACCTCCGTGTGGTTTCGTGCCCGATGCTGAGCGGGAAGAGCGTAAAGCTTCTGTCCGGGTGTCTGGCGCGCGACCGTCATCTCGCGACTGGTATGCGCAGCCGACCCCGTTGAGAGCTCTGCATGCGAATCCCGCGCGGAGCCTCGGCGCCAGGCCCGACAGTGAACGTTGCTCTGGCCGTTTGCTCGGCCGCCGGCTGGGCAGATTCAGAAAAGTCGGGGGTACAGCGGGACGCGGCAGTGGAGTGGTCGGGTCGGGGAGGGCTTCAGTTCATGCGCCAATTACTCGCGAGTTGTTTCTGTTGGTCGGTCGTTTGTTTGGAGACTCCCCTCCCCGTCACCGCGGCGGAGCTCGGCTCGAGGCTCATGGGGAATGCGCTTGAGAAGCGTACCGCGGAATTCGATACTCGCGGAGACGTAGACCAGCTCTATACAATCAAGGCGAGGACATGCGGAGGTCGTAGTTCGAAATTCTCGGGAGGAGCGTGGGTAGGGGGGAGCCCTGTCCCAGTGTGGGTTAGGCTCTTACCCAGAAGTTCCAGGGTGTTCTGAGAGGTTAGACCGCGCAGTTAATGGAGTAACTGTCAAGGGTTCGAGGTCGGGTGGAGTTGACGTAGAGTTGGTGTTCATTATACTTCGTGGTCAGTGTGAGCGATGCAGCCATGGGGTGTAGGGTGCAAAGGCGGTCGACGGGAGCGAGTGGCAGGCGCGGTAGGGGGCCAGGCCATCTTGGATCAATTGAAAACCTATGCCCAGGCCAGACAGCGGATCGTGTCCCAAATGTAGTTTCTTTGATGTTGCCCTCGAAGCCGTGCCTCCCTGGGAGGGCTGACAGGTGTGATGAGAGGGAGAGAGGAAGTGAGGGAGGCAGGGAGGGATAGTTCGAGAGAGGGAGAGCGGGAGGAAGAGGGAGAGAAAGAAAGAGAGGTGGAGACGATCATGCACACATGTATCGTGCGTTATGTCTGTACGCGTGTATGTATGTCTATATGCACAAAATGCACACACACACACACACACACACCTGGCGACGGGGCCCTGGGCCCCGGTCCTGGGACGGATCCCCGGCGCGGGGGGGGGGGCCCTGGGATTATTTTACGAGGTCGTGGAAGCCGCGCGAGGCCTCTCGTTCCTGGGGGGCTCTTGGAGCTCTCTCGGGGGGTCTTGGGGCCGTCTGGAGACCGTCTGGAAGCCATCTTGGACATCTTGGAGCTCTCCCGGGCCGACTCGGAACCCTGGGGGACCGTCTTGGGGGCCTCTTGGGGCCTCTTGGCCCGTCTTGGAGCCCTAGGGGCTCCGGCAAAGTCACGCGACCAGCACGCGCCACGCCCAGAGACTCCGGATATTCATCCGTCCAGGATTGAGGACTGGGAACTCGACGGGACTTGAGGGCACAACTCGTGGGGCACGGCGGCGGATATACAGATGTGTACATGTGTAAGCACATCACCAGGAAGTTCATACGTGGAGGGGCCATTCCTCCACCTTTCGGCTGCCACTGCCAACGTGCGGACACTGCTTCCGTACCAGGAAAATCGCTCCTACGCGAAAGTGTCGGCCGCTCTTCTGCTTTCCGAGGTGCAGTCCCTGGAATGTCAATTCCACAAGGTGCCGCTCGATCTGATCGGCATCCAAGAGGGCAGGTCACCTTCGACCGTGGAGAAGGTCGGCTGCTTCTACAAGATGCTCGCTTCCGCCGCCGACGAGCATGGCGGCCTGGGCGTCCAGCTATGGATTCGCCTCGCTGCATCCATTCACGTGCTTACCTGGCAAGCGGCCTCTCCTTGCCTGCTGTACGCCGCACTGCAGAAGAAGGACGTCACGTTCTTCTCTATCGTTGCCCACGGGCCTATTGAGCATGTTGATGATGATGTACCTTGTGATTGGTGGGATGCTCTCACAAATCTCACCATCAAGTTAAGGGTCAAGCACCCTGTGATGGAGTCTGTCATGCTCATCGACGCCAACGCCCGCGTGGGCAGCATACTGGAAAAAGGAATTGGACCTTTCTCCCCGCAGGTGGAGAATCGCAACGGCCAGCGCATCCGGACTTACCTCCAGACATTCGACATGGCTGCTGTCAACACGTTTTTCGATCACGCGTCGCAGACATGGCGGTCCACGCGAGGGTACTGGTCGCGCATCGACTACGTGTTGGTTTCCACTCACGCCCTTCCAGGCATCTCGTGGTGCCAGACATTGGATTCAGTCGCTCTTACTTTCTCCACCGAGGTCGACCACGTCGCCGTCGAAGCTCGAGTCAGGATTACGTCACGGCCGCCCGCGGCCCAGGCGTACTCCCGTACATCCGCGACGCCCCCATTCGTCCTCAACAAAGCGTCGCTGCAGTGCGAGTCCCGGTGTGCATTTTTCCGGCAGGAGCTCTGGTCGGCAGTAGCACGCTCTTCATCTTGGGGTGGCCTGGACATCGACTCCCACCTGGATGCCGTCAACGTCGCCGTTCGCCGTGCTGCCGTGTGTGCATTTGGGGGGCCGAACGACCAACCCAACAAGAAGTGGATATCATGGGATGCGTGGTGGTACATTCGTCAGATTGCCCCTTTGCGACGGGCTCGCTCCCCCGACCTCCGCCTGATCTACCGACAGTGGTTGGCTGTGGGACTACACGCGTGGCGCTGTGCAGCGGCGCCGGCGCGGAAGCTGTTCTGGCAGGGCGCAGTCATCGATGCCTCTCGCACGTTGCACTGGGTCCGTCGCCGTGTTTGCGTAGCCGAGGCTGCCATCCTGAACATCCAGCGCCGCCTGCGCCCCCTACTCCAACGAGACCGCCAGGAATTCTTGGACAATTTAGTCCTCAAGGCTGACCGTGCCATGGGCCGAGCAGACTTTCGAACTGCGTCTGCTGTGGTCCGCTCCCTCGGAGGCGCCCGCCCCAGGGCGAGCCCCGTGGTCGAGCAGATCGACGGGTCCCTTGCCACTGACCCTGCCGACATCCAGCGCCGCTGGACCGAGCACTACGCGAGCGTCCACAGCGGCCAGATCACCACCGCAGAGGCCCTCGTTCAAACACCTCTCGAACAGGCATCCCTCTCCAAGGCGAAGCTCGACGTGGGCCCCGCCGCAACGCAGACTGCGTTCGCGCAGCTCGGGCGCAATAGGTAATGGGGTTGGCCGCGACCGCATCCCTGCCGAGCTCCTCGTCGCCGGTGCTGCTCCGGCTGCCATCCTCTACGCCAGCATCAACCAGAGGATACACGACACCGGGGCATGGCCCATCTGCTGGAGGGGCGGGCGCATGCAGAACGTTTACAAGAACAAGGGCAAGCCCACTCACTGCGACGACCACAGAGGCATCCTCCTCGCCGACACCTGCTCGAAGGGACTGACCTCCATCATCAAAGAGTCCATCGATCTAGCGTGCGCTGCGCACATCCCGCGATCCCAGTACGGCGCCGTGGCCAAACGCGGCGCGGACTACGCTTCGATGGTCGTTCGCCTGTTCATCTCGTTCGCCACGGCGTCCAAGAAGTCAATTTTCGTGCTGTTCCTTGATCTTGTCAAGGCTTTCGACAAAGCCATACGGGAGATTGTTTTTGGTTTCGGCCCGATGCCCCCCGAGGATCCGGCCGCTGCGTTCGAGGCTCTGGGCGTGTCGCGACCCGCTGCCGCCTGGATCGCCAGCTACCTCCAGACACATGGCCCAGTGTTGCTCGGCTGGGGCGTCAACGAGAAAGCGGTGGAAATGGCTCAGGCGTTACACGCTGGAGCTTGGTTCGCCGTCGGCGCCGATGGGGACCCCGTAGCGAGTGCGACAGGTGGGCGTCAAGGCTGCAAGCTGGGGGCCACGACCTTCAATAGCCACTACTCCGTTGCCCTTTCTTTGTTGCACCACGTCTGCGAGGAAAAAGGCATATCCCTTCGTCTTCGCGTTCCCGACGCTGCCTTCTGGGCTGACCCAGACCCCGCGAACGAGAGCGCGGTGCCGACATTGGACGCCACATTTGTGGACGACGAGGCTATCGTCCTCGTGGCGGACACGCCCAAGCAGCTGGATGTGTTGATCGAGATCTTCGACAATCTGCACCTGGAGCTCAAGTGGAAGCCAGGCAAAAGCGAGTGCCTCTTGAAATGCCGTGGTCCTGGTGCTGCTGCTCACCTTCACCGTCGTCGCCAGTCTGACGGTCAACTTGCCATTCGTGTTCCTCGCCGGGACGACGTCTGGCTGTCCGTCGTGCAGGAGTACAAGCACCTTGGCTATTTCGTATGCGTCATGGGTAACGGGGACACGTTTGCTAATACCAGGCATCGCGTTTCTTCTGCACTGGCGGCGTACGCCCCCTTGGCGTGCAAGACTTTCGGCTCCGACCTCTTGAGCGTCCAGCACCGTTTGGCCTTTCTTCGATCGGCTTTGTTCGCCGGGCACACCCTCGTTCCGACGGGGCGCGACCTGAAGGCCATGAGCGGCTGCTATATGCGAGGTCTGCGGCGCATAGCCAGCGTCCCCCGTTTCAGTCCAGAGAACAGCACCACCGACAGGCAAATCAGGGACACGCTGCAACAGCCCAGCCTCGACTGCCTCCTCGCGCGCGCCCGGCTTGCTTTCGCTGCGCGGGTGTGCCGCGATCGTCCGGCTGAGCTTTTAGCTCTACTTCATCTTCGTGCCGGTTGTGATTCCAGCCGCTTGCCATGGGTCACCCAGCTGGCCAGTGATGTCGATGTACTTTTGAACTTCCTTGCGATTAGCCAATGGCCTTCCCTATTCGCCGGCCCCGCAGTTCTGGCACGACAAAATGTCGCAGCCTTGTGAGTGGAGCACAATGCTGGACGCATTTTTCTTCACCGAATCAGTCTGCGATCGCCGGAAGGATGCATCTAGTTGTGGCGCCGTGTGCCCGTTTGTCTGTCCAGACTGCGATTGCGCTTTTGTGTCTTCGCGCGCTCTTGAATCTCATGCGAGGGTCAAGCGCCTCAAGCGGAATATAATCCGCGAGTTCGTCCCCTCCGCCGTCTGTCCCTGCTGTCAGACCGACTTTGTACAGCGTGTCCGCTGTCGTGCACACCTGTCAGACCAGCGCCGCCCTCGATGCAGGGGATTGGGTCCTCCGGCACTGCCAGCGACTCCCGCCAGCCACGGTGGCGAACCTCGACGGAGCCGACAGGGAGCTTCGCCGAGCCGCTCAACGCAGCGGCCGATCCCACGTCATAGCAAAAGGCGTTGCCCGCAACCGCTTTGGCAGTGTAGTTGGCCGAGCTTCTGCATAGCAGGAGCCACCATTCGTGTGTACAGCGTGTGTCTTGCGACTACCAGGCCCTGAGGAATAATAATGTGTATATGTGTAACACGTGTGTCATGTTGAGCGATCGTGAGGACGAGAGGATGAGGATGAGGCTGATGGAGTAGATGGGGAGAGGAGGAAAGAGGCATGGGATGAGAGAGGCCCCTACCAGCCGTGCCCCTGGCAGCGCTGCGCTGGCTACTCTCCGCCATGCGGCCCCCGCGCTGGCGCGCCGGCGATGATCATCGCCGCAACGCCCCTGCTGCCAGAGGCGCTGCGCGCGCCGGCGCGGGCCGAGGGCGAGCAGGCCCGCCGGGGAGGTGCCGTGCCTGCGAAGGCTCCACGACAGTGGCGCGGCAGCACAGCCAGACCGGCTGGCACGCCTCTCTTGGTCCGCTGGGCGTGCTCCTGCATGCCGTGATGGAGCTTCTCGGGTTGCATCCCCTCGTCCCCTTCCTGCTGCTCTGCTGGGGCTTCTTCCACCACTTCCTCCGCAGCCCCCCCCATCATGTCCCCGCTCCTCCGCCTGCTTGGCTTTCTGGGCCTCTCCGGTGGCCCTCTGATACCGTCTCAGGTTTCCCCCGGGCCATTTTGGTATTGGTGCCGTCTTGGGCCGACTTGTCTGGGCCCCTTCAGGTGCCATTGTGGACGTTCGTGAAGCCCGTTTGGTCATCTCGAGGCCTTGAGGCCGTTCTGGGCCAGGTTGTTGCTCTCCTGGGCCGTTTGAGGCCCCTCTTGTGCTCGCTGAGATGGCGCACTGGAGGCCATAAATGTGCCATCAACGGCAGGGGACAACGACTCCGAAAACCACATGTGCAATGGTGATGGTGATGATGATGAAGAGGAGGAGGAGGAGGACGAAGAGGAGGAGGAGGGGGAGGAGAAATAGGCGGAGGATGAGAAGATGAGGATGATTGTGGCGGACGAGGGGGATGAATAGTGATTGTGGTGGTTCGATTCGATGCGATTGAAGGCGAACCTAGAGCCCATGTGCAATGAAGTTGGCAACGCAGTGCGAGGCCTGCAGGGTTCGCTGGCTCGGTGAGCAAGCACAGTCAGATGGGAACAAAAACACCACGTGTGTGGAAAAATCTCCGATTCAATTCGGGAGAATGACAGATGTAGAGCTGCCCTGGCCGTGCACAGTGGAACACAGGAGGCCCGACCCAGGCAGTAGTTGTGGGCGCCAGCCTAGGGCGGTAGACATGGACGCTAAATTCGATGGGGGGCCGCTGCCCTTGTCGGAGCGTCGGCGGGCTGCACCGCTGCTGCGGGGAGTGGCGGGCACAGTGCGCGCGTGCGCGTTTCGCCCCGCGCTGTGTGGCCGCGATTGGACGCCGCGTCGGCCCTGTCGGCGTCGGCGACCGGGGAGGCGGCAAAGGCATGAACACCTCCTTGCATCATCTGGGCCCCACGCCGCTTACCGAAAAGGGGGTTACGGCGCGCGCGAGGGCGCGTGAAAAGAGTCCTTCGAACAAGCTGGGCACTCCGTGCCAAGGATCTGATACCGCGTAAGTACTTGTATGCTGTGCGCGTGCCTCCCGTGGGCGGCCAGGCCTTTCGGGCTGCGGTATTTCTTCTGGCGGTCAGGGCACGTCAGAGTCGAGACCGGCGCGGTCAGCCGGCCAGACGGGGGCAGCCGCTTTCCTCGCAGCCGACGCGTCGCCTCGGACTGCGGGGCCTCACTCGGAGAAGCGCGACGTGCGTGACAAAGGCGCTTCCACCTCGCGGGCTCCGACACAATGAACTGGCGCCAGGCACCCGGGAAGTGGAATGGGTCCCCGAGGGTCTGGGCGTTTGTCGGAAAGGCGATTGCCAGCTGCCGGAGGTTCGAGCTATTGAGCAGACGCAGACTTGGGCACGGCTGCGACGCAGCGCTGCACAAGCGGTGGAGCTCGCAGTTGCGAGGCTAGGGGCTAGGCCTGCAAGGCGGTCCGTCAGGGTGCTGGGGGCCCCGAAGCGCATTGAGCCGTGAATGTGGCGCAGCACTCGGTGGTGCTTGGCCTCGAGTGGGAGCCAGCCCTTGTCCAGCTGACCTCGCCATCCCGCCACTGCGAACAGGCTGTGGAGACAACGCGGAGGTCTTGGCGAATGTCATCCCCATGGACTCTTCCGCTATAGCCTGGGGAACCGAAGATGGGGACGGCCAGCGGCGCGAAGGCCTGCTGCGCCTTCACCAATTTGCGGCGGACGTCGGCCTGGCAACCCAAAAGGCCACAGGGGCCCCTCTTCGCGCAGCACCATGGTGAGGTCGTCAGCCGGCTTGCGCGCTTGAGGAGGCGGGCCCATGGAAAGGGGGAGCGGCGGCGGCGAAGGCGACGACGGCGACGAAGACGACGACGACGAAGACGACAACGACGACGACGACGAGTCAAACCAAACAGAGGCTCGCACACGCCGACAAAGCCGGCGGATTCTACGAGTAAGTATAACATTTGCTAAGACACCGTAGTGCGAGTTGTGTGCGCAGTTGCTGCAAGTGATAGATACCGGGGCACGCTGCCTTCAGAAACCCAACTCCGCTTTGCCACACCCGCCTTCGGACGGCCAGGCCATCTGGCCGAAGGCATTCGGCAGGTTTACGTCACATGTGCTGGTCCTTCCAGCTTGGGCAGGGCAGGCGTGGAGGGAAACCGTGCTGGTCGCCGACTGGCTGCCGGTCGCCCCCCTTTCAAATCTGGCAGGGGGGGAAATCTCACATGTGTCCGGCGGCGCGCCCAGGGGGGAAGTGAGAGGAGGCGGGCCTTCTCAGACGGTAGCGGGGCTTCGGAGAAGACTCGGGAAGTTTCGCAGACGGGCAGGATGCCTTCTGAGCCAACTGAGAAGGCCCACCTTCTTTGCCTGCCCCCGTGGGCGCATCGCCGATGCGACTTCGCAAGGGACTTGAGTGAGAACGTTGCACACACGAGGAGCAGAGAAGCGAGCACGCCCACGGACAAAGCGAACGGATCATGCCGTCCACGTCTCCCTCTCCTCATGCATGCCCCTGCCCCGTGCTCCCCGGACTGCTTCTCCTGCTATTCCGCACTGCTCCATTTCTTCGCTCCTCGCCCAGGCGGGGTATGGAAGGTACCCAGCTTGTCTTCCGAGTCGCCCTCACCCGCATCCCTTCTTGCCGTCAGCCTCCCTGGGCCGCCCGTCTGTCAGCGACATCCTCCTGCAAAGGCCTTGTCGGGGGCTTGAAATTCGCTGCCACTTGGCACGGTGCGGGTGCTTATTCGGAGCTCCCCCGCTTCTATGGCATGGTGAGTCGGGAGGGCGGGCGTGGTCCTATCGCTTGCGCCTTGCCGAGAGATCTCTGGCCTGCACGAGGCCCAGCTGTGCATCCGTATTTTCTTCCGTCCAGGTGCAGTATACTAGTAGGCTAGTAGCAAGGCAAGGCTCGGTGAAGGCGGAAGGGGATGCAGAGACAGGAAAGCGGAACGGGAGTCGGAGCCCTGGTCGTTGACATCCTCTGTTCTTACCGCTTCTGCTTCTTTGATCTGTGCCAGCTGTGCAGATGGATCCCGCAGCAGCACGCGATGCGCTGATGCGGGCCGTGGTCTGCGGGAGGGGGTTGCATCATCTGCGGTCTCGTGCCATGAGCAGCACTGCAGGATTTTCTATTGCGTAGCAGACGGAATGCAGTCGCATGACAAGACCACACATGAGGACCGTTCCCGCAGGCAGGTATGTGGTACTGGAGGTTCAGCAGTTAGGTGCGGACATTATCAGGGGTATCTGCTTGCCATGTCCCAGTCCTAGCCAGCACTTCCCACAAGCCAAGCACTGGAGGAATTATGAAAGAGTGAAGGTTGGCCCGAGAGAGTCGAGGCAGTGCAGGGGGAGGCTGGCATGTACGTGCGCGTTTTGGTTGAAAGCGTCCTTTCTAGATGTGTCGACTGCCCGTGAATTCGCCTTCTTAGTACCTTCCAGGTTTGGGCGATCCCTTACATGGTTGCTTTGTCCACATAATCACCTCCCCGAGTAGAGATGTTGATCGGGACCAGGCGTGTTGGTTGAGTGATGTCAAGGGGGCCTGAAGGTCAACATGTTTTCATACGCTGGTCAGCATGGATTGCGCAATGGCTTATCATCGGCCTCACGCGCACCGACGTCATCAGGCATCTTACCATCGCCAGTAGCACCATCTGTCATTAGGCTGGCTTAAAGCTATCGCAGACCTCAAATGGGCCTTCCATCATAACTGGAAGCCGGCGGTAAACCGTCAACCTTGGTTACCGCCGGGAACTCGTAGAGCTCCCTTGCGATATACATAATCGTCGTTGTGCGCCGGGATGCGTGGGTACCGGCGGGCACTGCGTGTCGGAATTCCTTCAATTTTATGTCATGTTTTTTTGTCAGTGCGCGGGTGACAAGTTGTTGGAGTTGCCGCAACGTCGTGGCCTTTTTGTGGGCAGGCCCGTGTCGGGGAGCCTCGGAGGACCCCCACTGCGTTTGCGGTTCTGTGCGCGCGTGTGCGCGTGCCTGTGTGTGTGTGTGCATGGAGGAGGAGGAGGAGGAGGAGGAGGAGGAGGGGAGGAGGAGGGGAGGAGGGAGGAGGAGGAGGGAGGAGGAAGGAGGAGAGGCGAAGGAGGAGGAAAAGGAGGCGGAGGAGGAAGTGGAGGAGGAGGAGGGGGAGGAGGAGGTGGAGGGGGAGGAACACGAGCGGGAACAGGAGCAGGAGGAGGAGCAGGACCAGGACCAGGAGCAGGAACGGGAGCACGAGGAGGAGTAGACGCAGGAGCAGGAGCAGGAGCAAGAGCAGGAGCAGGAGCAGGAGCAGGAGGAGGAGGAGGAGGAGGATGAGGAGGAGGAGAAGGAGGAGGAGGAGGAGAAGAAGGAGGAGGAGGAGGAGAAGGAAAAGGAGGAAAAGGAACAAAAGGAGGTGGTGGATGTGGATGAAAGGGAGAGGGAGGAGGAGCATGATAAACATGACAATGGGGATGATGGAGAAGGACGAGGAGGAGAAGGAGGAGGAGGACGAGGAGGAGGAGGAGAAGGAGGAGGAGGAGGAGGAGGGGAAGGACAAGGGGGAGGAGGATGAGGAGGAGGAGGAGGAGGAGGAAAAGAAGGAGGAGGAGGACGGGGACGAGGAGGAGAAATAGGAAGAGAAATAGGAGGGTGCGGTTTCATGGATATGTGCTTCACATCTCCTTGCTTGTCCACAGCTCGAGTTCGTCTTGATACTGAAGACTAGCCCTCGTGATCATCCCCATTCGGACAGTCTGCTTCCCAGCTCTGTAGCTTGCGTACAACTCGAATGAAGTAGAGAAAGCCATCACCGCCTATGGTAAATTTGAAGAGCGCAAGTATTTTTTAGTTGCACTTCTGGTAGCAGACCGATCGTAGCCGTCTACATGCTACCAACCAGCGTTTCTCAGCATTTCCTGTCGATTGGTGTATGTCTGAGATCGGTATCTAGCCTACAGCTCGAATTTAGCACAGAAAACAAACATTATCTCTCACAAAAAATGCAGGGTGCAAGTCGCTGTTCAGTTGTAGCTCTGGTAGCAGACCAATCTTAGACGTTCCGACACAGTAGACGACAGTATCTGATGGTTTTCTGTTGAGCAGTGTGCTTCCCAGCTCCCCAGCTTGCCTATGACTCGAATTACGTATAGAAACCCAGCACCGTCTCTCATAATAATGAAAAGTTGCAAATAGTTATTTGGTCGCAGCTTTGGTATCATACCGATCTCAGGCGTCTAGATACTTTACATGTTTTCAGCATTCCCGGTCGATTGGTGTGCATCTCAGCTCCATAGCTGGTCTAGAACTCAACGCACATCATCTCTCGCAACATATGTACAGTGCGAATATTTCTCAGTCGCAGCTATGGTTGCAGGCCGACTTGATACATCTCGATACCGTAGGCGAATGTACTGATGACTTTTTGTTTCGAAGAGTGCTTTCCAGCTCCATAGCCAGCCTACAGCTCGAAAAATAGAGAAAGCGATCAGCATCTCTGAAATAATCAGCAGAGTACGAATAGCTGTTTGGTCCCAGCTCTAGTAGCAGACCGATCTCAGACATCTAGATACTTGGGGCTAGCGCTTCGGATGATTTCCTTTTCGATTGCTGTGCCGAACAGCCCTGTAGCTCATCTGCAACCCGAGTTAAGAAAACCGACAGCATCTGCCAAGATGACACTCAGCGCCAGATCCCGCCCACATGCTGTTTGATAGCAGTGCCCACCCGATCGACCTGATTTCAAGATGCCGAGCGGGAGTAAGATCGAAAATGGGGGAACCAATATTAATGCTCCAAAGAATTTTTGAATTTCGAGAAACTCAATTTAAAAAGGCCAAGCCAAGACAGAACTTCCGTCGATATTTTCGGGCCAACTAGCCCGCCAGCGCGCCGGAATTACTCTCTAGCGTCGCCGCTTCGCTCTTAGGGAAGCTCTACGAGTCATTCAATCAATATGGAAGTTAGCGCGGATTGGAATTGCGGGCTTTTTGGATATCTGCACAACGCCAATTTGGAAACGACGCCCAGGCAAACTGCCGCGAAACAGGAAGTGGAGGACCATTACCGATATAAGGAGGGCGGGCACGGTGCAGCTCATGATGGCAACCTCGCTGTTGCGAAAGGTGCCGCAGGTGCCGGTGGCAGTCCAACGACGGCCGCGGCGATCTTCAGCGTGTTACACGATGTCTGGAGATGCCGAGTCTCCACACGCGTCGGCTCCCCCGAACAGCATCGAATGGGCATCCGTCGTGTGCCTTGGGTGGTCTCGCGTCGCAGGCTTCCAAATTCAGAGCGTTTTCGTGCACGCCCCCCGCATGGTTTTAATCGGCAATTTGCATCCGCCAGTGATGCGAATCTGCGGAGGAGGAGGAGGAGGAGGAGGAGCAGGAGGATGAGGAGGAGGAGGAGGAGGAAGAGGAGGAAGAGGAAGAGGAGGAGGGAACTTCGCATCACGCGTCGACACGCCTCTGCTGAAGCAAATGCCCCCGCCCGTTCGCCGAGCCACCCTCCCGCGCCACAGGGGCCGAGGGCCTCTTCTGGGCGGGCGGCGCCGTCGCGGCTCCCCGGCCGCGTGCCCGCTCTCCTGGCCCCGGGGGCGCGGAGCGGGGGCGCGCAGGTCTGCTGCGACGAGGACGCGGCGCTGGAGGCCCTCGCGGCGGGGGCCGGCGTCGGGCACAAGGAGCCGGTGGCCGCTCCCCCTCCGCATCCGGCAGGTATCTTCGGGCGCCCCAGGGGAGCCTCTCGGCAGGCACTTCCAGGAGGCCCCAGGGAAGCATCCACTCAGGCGCCTTCGGGGAAGCGTCCAGCAGGCACCTTCGGGCGTCCCGGGGAAGTTTCCTTGCAGGCACCTTCGGGGGCCCCAGGGGCCACAGGGAAGCGATGCGGGAGTCGGTTCGGGCGGGTGCGGCTTCCCAGAGGCGCAGTCGAGAAACGCCAGAAGCGACCAGGAGCGCCCGGAAATTCCGGCGAATTGGCGGCCTGGGCTCGTACGATGTCTACAATCCTTCTCACACGCCCACATCGATGTGAGCCTTGGGACGCTCCGGTACGTGCTGAAGGCACGGTGGCATATTCACAATGCTCAACGCAGAGACCTTGAAGGGACCTCAGAACACTCTGTTCAGGGCCTCGCGGCACGGTGGCATACATCTACAAGCGGCGTGCCAAGGCTCATACATGTTGATCCTTGAAGGTGCAAGCAAGCTCGTTGAGAGTACGTTAAACAGGTCAGACAGCCGGTGTAGGGCACACAAGATCACTCAGTTACCGTTATGCGTTTGCAAACTAATTCAGCAATTGCGATGAGGAGTCGTACTTGGTCGCCAGTACGGTAGTGAATGCGTCAAGCAACTGCTGGAGGCAAACATGCCTAGACCATTTGGCAAGCACGCTGGCTTGGACCAGGTAGGCGTGGAATAGTGTGGTTGAAGTACGCACTTAAATTCATTGAGTACGCAGTACTGTTCGTACACGTATGAGCAAGCCGATTGAGCAACCCGTCGAATCACGATCTGCGCGAGGGACGCACCAACTTTTGCATGTTTTCTGACTCCCACGCGGAATCACCAGGCAAGTTCGACCCTCCATGTCAACACGTAGCACTGACGTGCTCAAGCTCGCTCAATCCGAGCAGGGTGATGCACGCGGTATTTGCCTTGATTGATAGCCTACGTGCTAGTTGCTACGTGGAGCAGCTGCCGGGTCCAGTTGGAAAAACACTGGCGCGAATTAATCACGCGTGAGGTAGCTGAATACATATCATGTCTTTCGAGACACCCAACAGCCGTTTTGAACCACAGAAGGACAGTGTTGAAAAACCAAGTGTTACCCCTAATCCTTAACGCTTCGTGTATCTGCACCAGTTCGTCAATTAGTAGGCCCGCGCCCCGGACTTACGACTCGCCGTGTGCGCTCTCGCCCGCGGCCGCGACCAAAAAAATGTATCTCCACCAGCGTCCGTAGCCCTTTTGGCCCAAACCGTCTCCTGGGGGTGTTCCTCCCTCCGGGGTCAGGGCTCGAGCACGCCCACGGCCAGGCGCGGGCCCGCCCGGCGCCGACTGCCGCGGCGCAGCGCCGGCGGCAGCGGGCGGCCGCTTGGGCGGCTCGTGTCGCTGGCGCCGCTGGCGCCGCTGGCGCCGTCGGTGCCGCCGGCGCCGCGGCCGCCGTGGGCGCCGCAGGCGCCGCCGGCCGCCGCGGGCGCCCTGGGCCGGCGCTGGCGCCGCCGGCGCTCCCCGCGCCGCGGCTGCCGCGGGCGCCGCCGGCGCTGCTGGCGCCGCGTGGGCCGCTGGCGCCGCCGGCGCCGCCGCGGCGCCTCTGGGCCTGCCCGCCAGCGCGGCGGCTGCCGCGGCCGCCGCAGGCGCTGGCTCCGCTGCTGCCGCCAGCTGCGCGGCTAGCGCCGCGGCCGCCGTTGCTCGGGCTGCCGCGCTGGGGCCCGCGGCCGCTCGCGCCGCTGCCGCTGCCTCGGCCGCCAGCGCCGCCGCCGCTGCGGCGGCGGCCGCCGCGGCCCACTGCTCCCCGACCGCACCTGGGCCTGAGCGGGAGCTGGAGCTGAGGGAGCTTGAGCGGGAGCTGAAGCAGGGGGAAGCGGCGGTTCCTCTGACGCAGACACGCAACGACGGAGGCCGTGGTCATCCGCCCATGTTCGATGCATTTGCGACGATCAGCCGCCACCCTTGGGAAGACCGCTTACCCGATCGATGCAGTTGCGATTATTGGTCGTGCTGCCAGGCACGAGCCCCCCCGCTCCTCTGCCATCGTGGCCGTCAGACGCCCGCTTAGGGAGGGGCCCGGGGACGCGTCGCACCACGTCAGCGCGGTCGCGACGATCAGTCGCACCCCTGGGGAAGGACAGCACGAACGGCGCGCCAGCTCTGCCCTGTCGCGACCCTGAGGAGGCGCCTAGTAGAGACGACGGAGGCCGTGCTTCAGATGGAGCGATCGAGAGCCGCGCTCCAGGAACCATTGCGACCGGGGCCCTTGACCCCGTCTTCCTGCGCCCCCTCGAGCCGGACCGATCCGATCGCAACGACCTTCCGGCCCGCCCGCCACCCCGCGCGGAGAATCGCGAGGCCCTTCTTCCATTTGTGCTTGCGGCGATCAGTCGCTCACCCAGGGGGGAATCGTGGGGTGCTGCGAATCATGTCAATGAGTCAATGCGCTTGCAGCGATCAGTCGCGCGCCCAAGATAGAAGCTGGCGACGACCTTCCGGTCCACCCGCCACCCCCTGCAGTCCCGAGGCTCCTCTTCCAGCTGTACTTGCGGATCGATGCAACCTTCCGGCCCGCCCGCCACCCCGCGTGAAGAATCGCGAGGCCCTTCTTCCATTTGCGTTTGCGGCGATCAGTCACTCACCCAGGGGGGGTCGTGGAGCGCAGCGAATCATGTGAATGTGCTTGCGGCGATCAGTCGCGCGCCCAAGCAAGATAGAAACTGGCGACGACCTTCCAGCCCACCCGCCACCCCCTGCGGAGAGTTCCGTGGCCCTTCTTCCATCTTTGCTTGCGGCGATCAGTCGCGCACCCAGGGTGGGGGGGGCAGGGGCGAAGCTCCCCCCCTCTCACGCGACGCACCAGAGGAAACATCCGAAAGCGGCGTCACCCCCATTGCCCCCTTTGACCTTCTACCGGCCAGGCAAGGACCCGACGGCGCAGCTGCCGACGACGCCGACGCCGCCGACGACAACGACGACCCCAACGGCGCCGACGCCGACGCCGACGACCCGGGGACAGACGCCGACGCCAGCGCCGACGACGACGACGACGACGACAACCACGACGCTCACGACGCCGACGCCGACGCCGACGACCCGGGGACAGACCGCCCTGGGGAAGCGGCGGATCCTCCGTCGCAGACGCGAGACGACGGAGGCCGCGGCCATCCAGACGGAACGATCGAGAGCCGCGCCCCGTGCAGGAAGCAGCGCGACCGGGGCCCTCGACCCCATCTTCCCGCCCCCCCTCATCGAATTGTTTCGAGACGCCGCCCTCGCCTGCGACAGCGCGAATCCCAGCGCCAAGGAGCGACGGCGCGACGGCCAGAGTGCGACGCTGGCGCGTCCGCCTGAAAGCGGCTGGACACCAGGCCTGGCCCCGAGAACCTGCGATCCTTCAGAGGAACCCGGCGCGCGGCAACGTCGACGGCCAGGCGGGGTCTGACAGGCGGCTGGCGACCGACGACGTCGACGCCGACGACGACGCCGACGCCGATGTCGACGCCGACGCCGACGACGGCGACGACGACGCCGACGCCGACGACGCCGACGCCGACGCCGACGACCCGGGGATAGAGCAGGCGCCGGCACAGAGGCGCGGGGCGCCAGCCGAGCAGAGGGCGACCGCCCCCCCGCCCACCTCCTCGACTGACCCTGCCGCCGGCGACGGGGCCACGCGCGATTCATTCGACATTGCCGGCGCCCTGAGCGACGAGCCCCCCAGAGGCCGCGGCGCAGGGCAGCGCCGGGCGCAGACGCGCGGAGGCGGCTCGCCAGCTGCATCCATCGGCAGGCGTCTGGAGGCCACTTCGCGGACGCCGCGCCCTCCTCGCGGCCCCCGCCTTTGGCGCCGATGGCATTGGCAGAGAAGGTCCAGCAGTGCGCGACCAACGCGCTGGCGCGACCGTGCACGTGGGGGGCCGCTTTCAAATCGCTCGTCGCGACGTGGAGGCTGCGGCTGGACTTCGCATCGCCTCGCGCAGGCGCCTGGACTTCGCGACGAAGCTGGCCCCGTCGCAGCAGCGACAGCGCAGCTTGCGCGGTGCGCCGCGGCGGGGAGGGGGCGGAGGCCGGCGGGTGCAGCGAAAGCAGGTTCTGGGCGATGAGCGGCAGCGTCCCAGGCTGCCGCTCCGGCCGCAGCCCTGGCGCAGCGGCGCGGCGCGCCTCGGTGGGGGCGCGGCGGAGGCCGATGGGCGCAGCGACAGCCGGCCGTCTGGCGGCCCGTGGCCCAGGCTGCCGCTCCTGCCGCTGCAGCTGCCGAGTTGTTCGGCAGCGACGTCGTCGAACGCTCCCCCTGGGCAGGCGCCCCCCGCCGCCTGCGCCCCGCTCTCGTTGCCTGCCCGTGGTGACGGCATCACCTTGGGCGCGCCTCTGCCGGGGTCTCCAAAGTATCTGCAACGATCAGCTGCCTGTCCACCTCGGGCATTCCTCTGCCGAGGCCTCGAGAGCATTTGCAGACGAAACGATCGAGAGCCGCGCGCCAGGAAGCATTGCGACCGGAGCCCTTGACCCCGTCTTCCTGCGACCCTTTAAGCCGGATCTATCCGCGTTTCTTGCTTACCACGGGCCACGGGCATTCCTCTGCCGAGGCTCTCCGAATGCTTGCGGCGATCAGCTGAGTGCCGCGGGTGTTCCTCTGCCGAGGTTCTGCGAGTGCTTGCAGCGATCAGCTGCTCACCGTGGGTATCCCTCTGCCGAGACATGTCGAGTGCTTGCAGCGATCAGCTGTTTACCGCGGGCATTCCTTGGCCGAGGCCTTTCGATTGTTTGCAGCGGTCAGCTGCCTCCTAAGAACCTCTTTCGAATAGGTCCTGTCGGCGAGTCGGCGAGGCGCCGGCCCCCCCGGGGCTTCGCCCCCGCCCTCCCCGCCGCGCGATGGCCGCAAGGGTTCGCGCTTGTTGTTTGGGCGCATTGGCCCCACCCCTGCCAGCGGCCCGCTGCGCCCAAGGCGGCGCGGCCCCCCTCGCAGGCACTTGCGGGCGCCCGCCGGCCTCGCGCGGCCCCCCGCCGCTCCGCCCTCGGGCTGCCCGATTGGCGGCGCTCACTTGCGCGGCTCTCTCGCGCGGCTCCTTCTTGCCTTCGAGCTCGCTCGCGTGAAGCGCAGGGTATCAGCCGACGGCTTTTTGGAGTCCTACCAGTTCGACAAGGTTTCTCCATGGCCCCGGGTGCGCGCTGGGCTTTCACCCGTGGGCGTCTTCGCACGCGCGGTCCGTTCGCGCCGATCAGCTTTGTCTTCTGGTTCTCGCTCGCGGGGGCCACCTGCGCGGCAAGGTTGTCCCTTGGGATGCGCTGACCACGGCTACTTGGACGACTGTTGCCGCCTGGCGTGGTCGCCTCTTTCCTGCTGTTCCGCTAACCCAGGGTGCCGTCTGTGCTGCTTCACGGGGCCCGCCTGCGCGTTACCGTCACCCTCTACGGCCACCCGTTCGCCTTCCTCGCGCCAGTGCGGCTGCGTCTTCCGCATCGGCGCAGCGGTATCTCGTTCGGTGCGACGGTCCACCATCGCCCGCCTCCGTCCTCTCCTGCGTCCTCCTCGAGTTTCCTGGGGCGTTGCATGTGCTCCCTGTTCGCCAGG